GTGTTGAAGCGTAAAGACGAAGTTGCTGCCGTAGCTGACGAAGGAGTTGAAGACCTCACTGCCGTCGACGCCTATAATTATGTAAGCATAGAGTATAAGATAGGTAGTAAAGTAGTATCTAATCTAGTTTTTACTCTTTTTGATACCGTTAGTCCGATTAGCTTCATTCGGAAGTCAGACGTCCCAAAACACCTGACAAAAGGGAGAATGAGGGTAACTATATCTGGATACAAGGCGATCGGTGGACACAAATTGAAAATTCTTGGAATTATTAAACTTAAAATGAAATTCAAAGAGAAAATAAATATCGTTGAACTAAGAATAGTATCAGATGAATACAAGTCGTTGACAGTTATTTTGGGACGTGACTTTATAGACCTGTTTAATATAAAATTAGTTAAAATTACTCCTGATCGAATTGATAAAAGAGAATCTCATGTAAGACCATATGCCGATGAAATAATTAATTTTATAAGTGTCCTTAATACCAATGCCGCAATTGTCGGTAATGGAGGTGAGCCAAAAAGAGTTTCAAATCCTTGTTCTGACATACCAGACGTATTTTGTATAGATATAGCCAAGACTATTAAAAAATTGCCGTTTAGAACTGAAACAGATAATTGATGATGCTTACCTAAATACAGATATTACGATAGAACCATATAAGTATGAAATGAAAATACACCTATGACTGACGTTCCATTCCACTGTCCTCCCCGACGGCTTTCCTATTTAGAACGAAGTGAGGTGCAGTCAATAATAGACGAATTGCAAAAAGAAAATATAATTAGGCCTAGCAACTCTCCGTATGCTTCTGCAATTGTATTGGTGCGAAAGAGAAATGGAAAGGAACAAGATAACAGTTAGAGATAACTACCCTCTGCGCTTGATTGATGACTGCATCGAATTCAGCGAAAACAAAAAGGTGTTTTCTATATTAGATTTGAAGAGTGGTTTTCACCAAATACAAATGCAGGCGGAATCTATTCCATATACTGATTTCGTGACGCCAAATGGTCAATACGAATATTTCAAGATGCCGTTTGGATTAAAGAGTGCGCCGGCTGTTTTCGCTTTATTAATAACGTATTCCGTGATTTAATTGACAAGCGGACGATTATTGTCTATATGGATGATATCCTTATTGCTAGCCGCGATTTTGAGGAGCACAAAGCTTCATTAAAAGCAGTGCTAGAGCGATTTGCGGGAAATTTTGCCCCTTATTCTGATAACCTTAAACGAGCAATTTTTGTGTATAAGTATATGTATCCATAAGTTTCTCGGCAACGGCTCTAACGTAGCAAAATGAAAAATCGTTTTAAAAAGACTTTCGAAGTTGTATTTCTTCCAACTGTCAAAAACATTTTATTTGTCACTGGGAAAATACCGTAAAAATTATTTGTATCATGCGAATATCTATAGAAATTATCAGGGTTTGAAAAACTGTTAGCACAGCGACAACAGCCAAGCATTTGCTTTTTTATAAATTATTGTTGCTCTGCTAGCCGGCAATTACAAGTACCTGATGAAGATCTTGCAGAAGCAATGAAATGCGACAAAATGCAGAAAAAAACTTTCATTTGCTTTTCGAACACGTAGAAGAAGTATGCACCAACCTAGGTACAGAAATCAAAGTACCGCGATACAGCAGTCGCCAAAAGAATTGCTTTAATGTGAAAACCGGAGACGCCGAGGCATACTATCGCATTGCTTTTTACATTCCCTTCCTTGATACATATGTTGCTCATTTGAAAAGCCAGTTCCTGAACCATAAATCAGTTTTAAATAATTTTAGTGTTTTGTTTCCAAAGTATACTTTTAACGAAAAAAAAAACTGAAGAATTGTTTGCTTTCTATGAAAAATTAATCGACTGCTCGAAACAAAACTTTCTTCTGGAGGTAAAAATGTGGAAAAAACGAGTTTCACACGAACATATTCGAAATGCTCTCGAAGCATTACAAGTAGCTAATAGAACGTCTTTTGGGAATGTTTTTAAGATCTTACGTATATTGGCACTTTTGCCCGTTTCAATAGCCACACATGAACGAAGCTTTTCATGCCTGAAAAGAATTAAAACCTACTTGAGAAATACAACATGTCAAGAAAGGCTCAACGGTCTAGCATCTATGAATATTCACAAAGATATAAATTTTTCAGTTAACGAAGTTCTAGACGAATTTTTCAAAAAACCACGAAAAATTTGCAAATTCTTCGTTTCATTGATTTATAAGTAAAAAGAAAAATTTAATGTGTTTAAAGTTATCAAAATGTTTTATAAATAAAGCGAAAAATTGAATATATGATTTTAAAAATTCGTGTTTTGAAACTTTATTACGCGTACTTTCTTCTAAAGCGCCTTTTTTCTAGACCCATATTAGTGAAATATTATTCTTTGACTTGAGGGGGGGACTTTAACCCCCAAAACTCCCCCGTGTATCCGCCACTGATCATCGCGGAGCTTAAAAACAAATACAACATTGACATCAAATTTATAGCGAAATATGTGGACGACATCTTTGCAATAATAAAACTAAACGACGTGAACAAGATTCTAGACACACTAAACAAATACCACAACAAACTTCAGTTTACCATAGAAATTGAAGAAAACGCACGCATCCCCTTCTTAGACGCCTGCATTCACAGAGAGAAAAATTGCCTATTTCTGGATTGGTACTCCAAACTTGGCCGCCTAATTAACTACTACTCATCACAACCCACCAAATACAAAATAAACACCGCCAAAAACCCAATACATAAAATACTCACTTTAAGCCACCAACGATTTCATGACGCAAACATAGACAAAATAAGAAAAATACTAAAAAGCAACAATTACCCCGACTACCTAATACGCGAACTCATACAACAGAAAGTAATGGAAATAACCAGCCCTCAAAATAGAGCAACATCTACAAAAACAACTGCCACGAAAAAACAATACCACAGCATAACATACATCCCCAAACTATCCGAAAACCTCGATCGCGACTTGGCTAGAAAACAAAATATCACACTCGCATGCAAGTCCAATAACTCTTTATCCACGATTTACACAAAAACAAAAAGCCCTATAGACACCAAACAACAGAACAACGTAGTTTACGAAATAACATGTAAAGGCAAAGAAAACGAAGCCTGTTACAAAATATATATAGACATAAAAAAACACAAAACCAATACAGCATTATCACAACACATAACTACTAGTGGGCCCACAGCTGACTTTGCAAACACAATAATAATAGACAAGGAAAAAAGGGAAAAGACAAGGTATACCCTGGAGAGCCTAAGAATAATGCAAAAAAGAGAAAAAACAATAAATAAGAAGGAAGACACCGATGACATTGCTGCTGCATATATTTTATGTGGACGAATTTTAGTAATTATCAGTATTGACAAGACTACCACAATAGATGGTGCCGAAGTAAAATTAAGTTTAATTAAATATGTTATAATAGAAATTTGTGTAAGTAGTAAAATAGTATAATTCATTTGCCACTTATATATTCAAATGCACGTCATACATGTACATATGTTCCTTATGTAATTTTTGTAAAACGTTAATGCATATTTGTAATTTTTGTACTTATTGTTGATAAAGTGAAAATAAACAACCAGCCCCTGAAGATGCTAATGAGTTTAGCGAAACGTTGGGCAACAATAGTGGAATAACTTTGTTTTATTTGCGCTAAAGGATGCAAGATCGGACAAGCCTATTAAAATATTAAAATTTAAGAAAGCGTGACTGTCTAATAGTTCAGTTCTCGCAATATATAACAGTGATAGAGAGACAGAATTACATTGCGACGCAAGCGCAATAGGGTTTGGGGCTGTCTTCCTATAGCGGCAAGATGACAACAAATTTCATCCTATCTCGTATTTTTCGAAAACTGCATCAAGTGCCGAATCCAGGTACCATAGTTTCGAGCTCGAAACATTAGCAATCATGTACGCTTTAAGAAGATTTAGAACCTATTTAGAAGGTATGCCGTTCAAGATAATCACGGACTGCAACTCATTGGCTATGACTCTTGAAAGAAAACAGTTGAATCCGAGAATTGCTAGGTGGGCACTCGAACTCGAGAACTACATCATAAGAAAGGAGTTTCGATGGGGCATGTTGATGCCTTATGCCCGTATGATACTACGTTTTTTTCTTGGTTTTCGAGTGTATTTTACGCTGTATTTTGAAAGAAAGAGAAGGTCACATACAATTTCAGTACTTGTGTAAGCGAGTAAGCTATATGCCAAAAAACAAACGAAAAACAAACTAGGTTGTTAAAAACAGTCCGGCCAACTTGTATTTCGTTAGGTTTTTTTGACAGATGGCTGTATTTCGTTAGTTTTTTTACACAGCTGTTTGCATTTTGACATACGAGAGATTTTCTAAGCATACAATGGAAATACAAGTTTTATCTATTGCAACAAATTGTTTGCTAAACGCTGCTGCCTTAATACAGCGTAGGAAAAAGAAAAAGGCCTAAAATAAAATATTCTGCGCAATGGCTTTTAAAAAGAGAACTGGAAGGTAAGTTTCGAATTCCACATTATATACACCTGTATATAGTTCGTTTTTGTAATTATCAAAAATACTTTTCATAGGATTTAGCCACAAACTGTTAAAGGAAATTGAGTGCGAGGATTCAATCCTTCACAAAAATATCTTAAGAATGACTCCAGCTCAGTTTGCATTCTTATTAGAAAAAGTACGCCCCTATATTAGCAAGCAGGATACAAAATTCAGGAACTGCATAGGAGCTGCGGAACGGCTGCAGCTGACATTGCGATATCTATCCACTGGTAAGAAAAATATATTCTTGGTAATTTTTAGTACCGACATACATATGTATGTACATATTTCCAAAATGAGGTGAAACCCAAAGGTCACTTCAATTGCCGTTCCGAATTCAGCAGTAAACCATTTCCAGAATTTTAAAGGAATCAATTCCCGCAATATATTTGGCGTTAAGGGAGGAGTATTTGAAATTCCCTGCAAGTGAGCAAGATTGGCGTGATATTGCAAAAGACTTTTATCAGATGTGGGGATTCCCGAACTGCATCGGCGCTTTAGATGGTAAACTAACAATTAACACTTTTAAATTCACTCAACTGATGAAACGTCTCAGGAAAGCATTGCAGAATACTGCCAGTGAGGAAAGCAGGATCTACGTATTTCAATTACAAAGGATACCATTCATTTGTATTGATGGCAATCGCTGATGCCCACTATCGTTTTATTTATGCTGATGTCGGTGTTAATGGGAGAGTGGGTGATGCTGGAATTTGGTTGAACTCGGACCTGAAATACGCTATTGAAAAAAATGAAGTACATATACCAGCCCCATGCACGCTCCCTTTCATGTCAACTCCCTCGCCTTTTGTGCTTTTAGCCGATGATGCCTTTGCTCTAAAAGACTACTTAATGAAACCTTACTCTCATCTAAGACTATCACCAAGCGAACTTAAATACAACAACATACTTTCGAGGAACAGGCGCGTTGTTGAAAATGCTTTTGGCATTCTTGCGAACCGTTTTCGAGTTTTATTTTCACCCATCCATCGCGCTCCAGCTGCAGCCATTCAGATTGTATTATCTTGCGTATGTGTGCACAACTTTTTAAGAACAGAAAATGTGAAAAAGAAAACTACGTTTGACGCCATTTCCGAAAGTGAAATAGATGCAATAATAGATAACAACTATACAACAACCGCTTCTGAAAGAAATGCGTCAAAAAGGAGCGCTGAAGAAATAAGAAAAACTTTCGAAAACTATTTTTCTGCGGTAAATTAAAATATCGTTTCATTGTTTAAATAAACCAAAACTTTTCGTGTTGGAAATTTTCCATACTAGTAGAAGCAACAATTGGTTTATTTGGTGATTAAATAAATGAGTACAATGTCTTCAATTTATGTACATACCTACTAGCTAATACCTGCCTACTTAGCGGTGCACCGTGAGTAGTACAAACACTGTTACATTTTTGATTCAATTAGAGCAACCAAATATTTTAATGAAAGTAATAATAAGGTAAAAAAGTGGTAAGAATAATCAAAATACATATTCACTCGGCAAAATAATAACTCTGCCTCCTTTCGTAAAGTTTGACTATTTTCCTTTTATTTATTGAACTTTAATAATTTACTTATAAAAATACACCCCATTAATTAAAAATCTTTAAACTTGGCAATATGTGGTGCGTTTATAATTATGACACGGGATGTATAGTTAACTCTACAAACAAAACCATATCAATAAAACTTTTAAACTTTAAACGAAATTCAGGAAAACTCATCAAAATTTCGATTTTTTTCTTTTAAATATTAAAAAGAAAATTGCATGTCTGTGTAGATGTGTAATTTTTATGTAATAAATGGCAAATTTCAAGTGGCTTAAGATCACCGTTAATTTTGGGTATTGTTTTTTTTAAGCTGAGGGCGCCGCAACAACCCATTTTGTTTTTGAAATACTTAAAAGGAAGTTCGAAATTGTTATGTAATTTTATGCATTTTCTTGAATTTTTTTTAAAGTTTAAAGCTTCTAGTGATATGTGTTTGGTTGTAGAGTTAACTAAAGTTTTATAAATAAGTTATTAAAATTCAATAACCTACGGAAAATGGTCAAAACATGACAAAAAGGGACACTCCTATTTTTGTCTATGAGTGTACATACATACATATAAATAGTCATTGTGTTACATAAGCCCATTCCGTTTCAATTGCTCACTTTGCAGATCCATCAAAATGTCGTGCATTTGTTTCTTCGCTTTGAGTTGCAAGTCGGGGTCCAGTTTTACAATTTCTTCACCCATGTATGTACGTGTGTGAATAGGCCTTTTGTTGTGTACAGATTGTATTTAGACCGTAAAGATTGTATTTAGACCGTAAGAAATTAGGTTAAGTAACTAGACCTTAAGATTAGTTTTAATAGCGAGTAAGACAATTAGTTGTAACTTTAGCGAGTAAGAACCGTTTATATTTTAGAAGCCATAAGCCATTTTGAAAAATAAAAGGGCACTCAGCGTGAAACAGCGAAACCACACGGTTTGTCAATTTATTTTATTCCAAGCGTTTTGCAGAGACTATGTGCTCATAAGGAATGTTGATACGACTGTGGGTGTTAACAAAAAATGTATACCCCAATATAAAGGACCGTACGTAGTACACAAGGTATTAGGCAATGACCGCTACGTCATTCGTGACTTTGATAATTGTCAGTTATCCCAACTTCCATACGTTGGGGTCATTGAAGCTCACCGCATTCGGAAGTGGGTGAGTAAACCAGATGATGGCGGCATCGGTGGAGAGGACGCAGGGCATGACCCCTTGGCATGAATTAGCTTTAAGTAATTTGGGCACATGATCAAGGGCGATCCATTGTCAGGAGTGGCAACTTCAGTTGTGGCGATCGTAGCGAACGGACGTGTTGCGGAAGATTTCAGTTGCGATTATCGGCGATTTTCTTTTGTGCGCTTGTGTTTGTCAGTTGGTGCGCGGTTGTTTATTACTTGGCGTCGGTTAACGGTGACTTGTTTACCAATAAGTGGCGTCGGTGTACGGTAACTTGTTGACAAGTTTTTCGTCGTCTGCTTTGTGGTGGTATTTGTTTACCAGAAGTGCGCGATACCGTTTGTGGCTGGCAAACAACTTGTTTACCAGCTCGAGATAATATACGTGTGCGTGTGTGTAGGTATTGACTACAGTATTTGTATACTAGAGTCCAGCGCAATTGTATTTGCCGCATTTCATTCAATAAGTACTCCTTGCATTGTACTCTACTCCCAACACATTGTTACTTTTTTTCCGCATACATACACTACTTGGCGTTGAGAGAGTAAATACTTGACGTACTTGCTATTACTCCACCAAAGTACGTACTCTACTTTCCCTCATCGCGTACGAGAGATATTTGCTGCTGCCAAAAGGGAGTAGCAAATCTACTCTCTGTATACTTGTAGTACGGTAAGTACTTGCGTATTAAATTTCAATTCTGGTTGTTAGCCTACTAGTTGATATCGTTTGCAGCGCTGGTCAGTGAAATTGAAAGAGTAAAAATAGAATATGGAAATNGCCGTTTAAATGGAATTGCGCTGGAGTCTATTGTATACCAAATCGCGAACACGTGATTCACGTGTACCCAGTAGGGAATTAGTGTAGGTAAGTGCTTATTTAGTACTGATCTTGGGCAAGTTTAGGGATTTTTTTGAGATCGTTTCCAGACTCTTTCCGGACTTTTTCCGGATATTTTCCAGACTTTTTCCGGATATTTTCCGGCATTTCGTAGAACGGGTTTTTGGGCTCCTGCAGTGCCGCTCGGTGTTTCTGACCTTCTACGGTGGCCATTTTAGGTCCCGCCTTTTTTGGCGGAGTGTTGCGCTGTGTACCGCGTATTACGTGTGCCGGGTACTGCTTTCTCAAGCGATTTGCTCTGAGGGCATCTGTTGTGTGAGCTGCTGGCTTTTGGCTAGACCTTGAGTAGGGCTTATACGCGCATATCGGCGATTGCTTTGCCTCACGAGTGTGTTGGCATAGCTACTACATCGGTCGATCCGTATCCCGATACGGGGACACCGTTCCGACCGGCGGGATTACTTGGGTGACCTTTTCAAGGGCTGCCTTGGGGTGTGGTCTGCATCCAGCGGTTTTAGCCGCCTTGACCGCTCGTTGAGTCGCCGGCATTATAGCGCGGGCTCTACTTTGAGTCCTACTGAAACCGGGGCTCCATTTTCAGTTTGCTCTTAGGGCGTTTGTTAGAGCACAGTCGGTGCTTGGGTGCGTGTGCGCGTAAGTGCACGGTACAGCTACCCGCTGGAGAGGCTGAAGGCCAAAATGCCTTCGCGGAGGAAGAACCGCAGAGTGGCTAGTGTGGGCGCCGAAGAATCGTCGGTTCGCGAAGTGTCCACGTCGGGGGAGGAGAGTGATGCAACGAGGAAACAGGAGGGGGTGAAATCGCCACCACGGAATATACGTCGGACGGATGAGGTTTACAAGAAAGAATCGGGTTCGGGTACCAGGTCTGATGGAAGGCGTGGTCGTCCGAGGTCGATTGTGGTTTCGGGGGTAATACCTTTTAGCGATGCGTCAGGTGGAGCAAGGTTGAGTGCTGGTTGGTCGTTGGGCGTTGGCGCGAGTGCGGGCACGGTTGCTGAGAAGAACGTCGATGCGAGCACGGTTGCTGGTACCAGCACTTGTGCTGATGTGGGCGTTGGGGGGGCTGCATTAAAGCCAGGTAAGGTGGTTGGGGCTGATACGAGGGCTAGTTCCTCGGTATCGGCGAGGAGGTTAAAGGCGATCTCCGCTAAATTTAGCGAGGCCGTTTTTGGGTTGGAAGGAGTTGACTTATTGTCGGCGAAGAGGCTGTTGGAGTTTTCCTCGGAGTACGAGGAGCTCCTGATGACGGCTATTGCCGAGAATGACCACCTTCACGGCAAGGTTGATGTCCTCAGTGGGCGAAGAAAGGGCGTCTTTTCCCAGCCTGCTGTGGTCCCACTGATGGGAGCTCCACCGTAGTCGACACCGGAGGCTATTGTGCCATCGATGCCTGCATCGGTGGCTCCGAAACCGATGGAGACATATTCGCTGATTGTTCAGGAGAAGTCGGGTCAGCGCTCTAGTGAGGTCGTGAAGAAGGTAATGAATGAGGTGGGCCCCTCATTAGGTGTGAGGGTGCATGAGATTAAACCTCTAAAGGGAGGCGGTGCGATTATTCGTACACCTTCTGTCGCGGAGCGGGAGAAGGTTGCGAAGAATACCCGCTTCTCTGAGGTGGGGCTCGATGTCAGCATCAGGAAGCAAGGAACTAGGGTTGTGGTTCAGTCGGTTCTCACTGAGATACCCCCGATGAATTCATGGGGGAGTTGTACAGGTTGAACGTTCAGGAGTTCAGCCCTGGATGCCTGAAGAAGGACGTAAGGATGGTCAGCCGTCCTTGGAAGAAGACTCCGGATGGAGTAACAAATGTTGTCTTGGAGGGTACGGACAAGTTAATGTCCGCTCTCCTTGATGCAGGCCGTTGCTACATTAAGTGGTTCTCGTTCCGAGTACGGCAGGATTTGTTTGCGCCCGCTTGCTTCCGGTGCATGGGCTTCGATCACCGTGTGGCCAACTGTAGGGCGAAGAACTCTGTCTTAGGTGCGGGCAGGAAGGGCATCGTATGGCGAGGTGTGAGAATGCAATGCATTGTCGCAACTGCGCCTTCAGGGGAAAGCCGGCTGAGTATCTTATGATGACAGCCGCTTGCCCGATTTATGATGCAGTTGTTGCCCGTGCGCTTCCCAGACATTAAGATGGGTAAGGTCCTGCAACTTAATTGTCAGGGGGCTTACTCGGTGATGTGCGACTTAGGGACATTGATGCTAGAGGAGGACTGCGGCATGCAGGAACCTTATGCCTCACATGGTGTGGTACGGGGTCTCCCTTGTGTTTCAGGGTCTTCACCGACCGTGGGGCCAATGCTGCAGTTGTGGTGAATAACCCGCACTTAGAGTGCGTATTGGTAGACTCGTCTGAGCTAGGAGTAATTGTTAGTGTAGAGGGTAGGTTCGGGAGGCTGCTCGTCAGCAGCATCTATTGTAAGTTTGGTGAGTCATTGGAACCCTACCTCGCCTACCTTGACACGGTGCTACTTCTGGCAAGTAGCAGACATGTTTCGACTGGAGAGTTAGGGCTGGATAGGGTATAAGTGACCACAATCTTATTGAGATTGTGATCTTGCCCCATACGCCTCCTGGCAGGGATTCTGGGTGTCATGCGAGAAGGTGGCGTACCAGTGGGGTTGACTGGGACCAATACCAGCTCCTAGCCGAAGTGGCTATGTGGGAAGTGCCTCTGAGCGATTTTGGGGAGATGACCTCGAATGAGCAAATTGCTTGTCTTAACGAAATCGTTTGGAAGGTAAATGATCGCGTTCTGCGTAGATGGGTGCCGCCTAATCTTAGGCGGGCGAAGTTTTGGTCGCCAGCGCTCAATGACAAGAGGAAGGCAAGACGTCTGTTTCAAAGGTGTAGGTGCAACGGGGGGGTATAATCTGTCCCAGCTTAGGAGTCAATATAGGAGTGAGATGAGGGAATATAAAAATCTTCTAGTCAGAACGAAAGAGGAGGACTGGCAGAGATTTGTAGGGGAGAATAGGGACGATACTTGGGGACAGGTTTTCAAGATATGTCGGGGTCGTCAGAGTACGTAAATCACCTCTCTTCGCGTTGGTGACACTATGTTATCATCGTGGGGGGAGTGTGCAGGGGTTCTGTTAGGAACGTTCTTTCCTAGGGCGGAGGTGCAAGTACCTTCGACACAGGAGATGCCTGTTCCCCCACTAGATGATGAGGAGTTGGGGTATGTATTTGGCCTGGTCAGGTCTAAAAGGTCCCCAGGTAGCATGTCGGATAGACAGTATGGCTTCAGGAAAGGACGTAGTGTAGAGGATGCTTGGCTGAATGTTCAGAGTGTAGTACGGGGGAGTGTCAACAAGTATGTCCTTGGCATATTTGTTGACTTTAAGGGGGCTTTTGACTACCTACGTTGGGACAGAGTCATTGAGCGTTTGGAACAGCTGGGGTGTGCAGAGATGGCTCTCTGGCGGAGTTATTTCTCCGATCGCAGAGCTACCATGGTTGGTGTTGCGGGGACTGTTGAGGTCGATGTGGCTCGTGGCTGTCCGCAGGGGTCCATCAATGGTCGATTTATTTGGGTCCTTATGATGGATTCCCTGCTGTGAGAGCTCGAGCCAGTCTGTGGCTTTAGTGCGTACGCTGGTGACCTTCTCGTCTTGGCTGAAGGAAATTCCAGGTCAGATATAGAAAGGCAGGAAGAACGGCTGCTTGAGATCGTCGGTAGCTGGGGGCAACGTATGGGAGTCGACACTTCGGTTGGCAAGTCGGTAATAATGTTACTCAAGGGGAAGCTATCGTTGGGACGTACACCGGTGGTTCGCGTCAACCGGGTCAGTCTTAGATATGTGACGCAAGTCAGGTATTTGGGGCTGACCATTGGGGAACGCATGAGCTTTGCTCCCCACCTGGTGTGCCGTAAGGAGCGCCTTGTTGGTGTTGTGGGTAAGGTACGTCGCATCCTGAGATGTGAATGGGGCCTCGGCCGGCGTGCTGTTCGTGCCATCTATCGCGGCCTATTCGTGGCTTGTGCCACGTTTGGGTCCGCTATTTTGTACGAAACAGTTATGAAGGTTGCAGGTCGCTAGAAGGTCCTATCCTGTCAGAGGGTATTGTTGCTGGGTTGTCTTCCGATGTGTAGCACCGTCTCCACGGATGCGCTTCAGGTATTGATGGGAGTTCCTTCTCTTGACCTGGTGGTTATAGCGAGAGCTATGACCTACAGGATGAGAAAAGACATGAACATGTTGCCGTTGACTGGGTGGGTTTCGGACGGTGACTTGGAGAGGGGCTATCTTGAGTGCAAACGGTTGTTGGATGACAGAGTGCGTGGTATGTGGCAGGACCGTTGGGATGGTAGTTCCAATGGTCATGTTATATACCGCTTCATTCCGAGTGTAGGGTTTATTGGAGAGAAAATCCGGACTACGGGCATTGCTTGAGCTTGGATTTTCTACTAACGGGGCATGGTCCTCTTAATACTTTTTTGCGTAAGAGGAACCTCCATGACTCTGAGGTGTGTGAGTGTGGAGCGGAGCTTGAGGATATCGAGCACGTGCTTTGCGAATGCCCGAGATACTCGGACTTGAGGAATCTTGATAGCGTGGGGGTAAAATGGACGGATGGACGGTACGACTTCGGTAGTACCCTCTCCAGGAATTTCGCACGTGAAGTTTTTAGAAGGCGAAGACGCCTCGAGTAGGAAAGTGGTGTTGGTGATGGCTACCAGTCCAGAGTAGTATGGTATATCAACTGGGAGTGGCTTCGGCCACGAGGTCTGACCGGAGACTTAATTCTGGTACCACGGGGAGCAGTTGCCCTTGGAGCTTGCTCCAATCTGCTCGTGCGGCTTGGCCCTACGGGGAGTATCGTGGTGGCTGTGGTTTAAACCCGAATGCGGGGAGAGTCGTGTTGGCACGATGTGGAGTTTCATTGCAACCGGGTGCCGTACCCATAGCACGGCAGAGGTTTAGATAGTCCTCGAACCCTACCAAGGTGGTTAGCGTGTCCATTCCGCACTGCCAATTGGTACCGAGATGCTCGCATTTCCGGGCGCTGATCTTCGCATTGAATTGATCCGTTGAGCTTTAGGGGCTCTGTGGAGCTTAGACTGCATTAGAGTGCGGAAGGTACCCACGTTAAACCTAAACTACATCTGTCAGGATTGGCCGAGCTGTAAACACTGTATAAGAGTATATTAAGTATTGCCCTGTGTAAACTAGGTATAAGCATATCAATGTATATATTTCGATAAGTCGAATGAATACAACTCTGGGGAGGCCATGAAGTTAATGATGGAGGCTCTTCCGGAAAATCCAGAAAACAAGTCACACGCGAATTATTATTTATCGACAATTATCTTCATTTAAACAGGAGATCGACACAGTTTAAAATATGATAAAAAAAAATCTCATTACGCGTCCGAGTTTAATATAATTTAAACGATGTAAGAAATTGTAACAAAGCTGGAAAGTTTAATAAGCAGATTTTCAATAACGTCGATAACAAACAGTGATATCAATAATGCATCCAATATGGATGTGGTATCGAGGCTAATAGTAGCCAGTACTGCCTCACTACGTAGTGAGATCGTACAAGTTAGACGTCAGTTAGAGGCTTTGAACAGATCAAATAATGTTGCTGAATACGTGACAGAAATGATTGAACACAGTATAATTTACGAGGAAACTTTGGACGTTATAAAGTCCCTTCCAGAATTTAAAGGACATATTAATAATTACGTTAGTTGGCGTGAGGCGGCCAACAACTCTATGTCATTGTATACGAGGGGAAGTAGGAAGCACTTTGCCGCTTTGACAAGGAACAAAAATAACGCAAGAAGCAAATGACATTCTGACCAAGCATGGTACATTTTTAAACTTGACGCGATTCTATTAGATTTAGCGTTTGCCGACAAGAGACCATCACACATAATAGAACAAGAAATGAGTGACCAAATTCTTTTTACTTTGGGACCACGCGATATACCCGATACTCTAGCAAAAGCGCAGGAGTTATATTCCAACCACATGCGTTCCAAGTTCGCTTTAAATTTTTTTTTTTTTTTTTTGTTTTTTTTAGTAATAACAGATATTTATTCTCATAATGTTTGTTTTTACCCAATTATTAATTACTCTTGTAACCATCAAACTTTCTTTGTCTGTTGAAAAATGTCAAACAAGTTGACGGAACTTCATAAGTCTTAAAAATGACGAAATAAATTTGCGTTCAACAAAAACCAAAATTATTATGGAGATACCCTTCAACGGTGAAGATACACATACTTAGTAGGAATATATGGAAACATATCACTACAGGGACATCAGGACAAACTACATTGGTGAAACAAAAAGGACCATATCTTCCAGATAAAAATGAAGCATTTGAGTGGGTAATGAAAGGGATGTGTAAAATAGGATCACTATGCTACCCCTCAGGAGACTGTTATGGTGGCGGATTGAAACATTGTGAAGGATTGGGGCTTAATCCCACTTGGGTAGAAAGTAAAGAAATGACTCATGAAGGTGCGGAATGGAGTGAACATTTTTTGTTTTTGAGAGATCGTTGTATTCAAGATTGGTCATGTCACATTGATAAGAGAGACAGTTTCGTATATGTTGATAATAATGGATCAGCTTATATAAAACCTGGACATGAAAAAATTTATTTAAATGGGAAAGAATATAACAAAGAGTCTGGTTTCGTCATAATAACGCCTGATAACGTCAAGGCTAAAAAATTAAATGTGTTAGCAGATTGCATTGACGATGATGGCAATAAGTATAGTTCATGGATTGTAAATGCACAAAAACATAGTCTTGAATTTAAGGAAAATGATCATTGCAGGCAAATAAAAAATTACAATGTATGTATAAATAAAAGAGTAAAAAGGAGTACACCAGAAATGGCGATTAGTATTGATGACACAAATCAGGTTAATGAAGAAATAAAAAACTTTATATCTAGACAGAACTTCAATAATTTTGTATTACAACAAGAAATTTTTATGATAAAGGACACAATAAATAAATTGGTTATAAGTTCATCAAGATTTAACCCTTTTATTGTTAAGGATCTATTGAACATAAATGTATATGTTAAGAAAAGTGGATCACTTATGAGTGCTTGTCCGTGTCAATCACTTGATGCAGATTGTCCTTTGAATAAGTTGGTGCATGAAGGTGATAGTATTTGTGATGATAAAAAGAAATCAAAAGTTGTTGATGTCATCAAATTATTAAATGTTGATAAAATCATTCCAGATGATGTTGAGTTCAGAGGAAAAGAAGAAACAATTTATGAAACCCAAAATGAGCGAGATGCCTCAAACAATGAATTATTCATTAACCCCTCAATAAATAGAGAATCTTCAAATCTTGTGAATGTTGTTGGCAGCATGCCTGGTTTTGGGATGTTTGCTAGTGTTGTTTTAATTCTCCCCTTCATAAATTTATTTTTGATATTGTACAGGAGATAGTTTTGATAGACATCAAGTTTTAAATAAAAATATCTTGTTTTTACTGACAAGACATTATTACCCAATTCAGATTCAAATTCTCAAAACCTTCCCCAAGAAAATCGAAGAAACCAAAATTTGCAAAATAATTTGAGGTATTCCCAAAAGAATCCTCAGGTAGCTATTATCAAAATCGCACAGAACCGATGGACGTAGATCCGTTATTACAAATACGAAATAAGCAACCAAATTATGGAAATGCACACACAATGAGAAATAATGGGATTATTTAGCAAAATAAAAAATGTGCAAAAACGGGGAATTGAACGTGCGCAAACAAGCGCCCAACCGCAACAGAAAGTGCAACGTGTTAACAAGCCCAAAATGATGGAAAATTGTTTATTGAAAATGAAATAATAAAATAAAAAAATATAAAGTTAATAACCATACGTTAGAGGGAGTTTATTTGATACCCTTTCAAGATTTAGTAATTATAGATGATCTAAAATATGAAAATCCCTCAGGAAAAATTTTAACTATTTAAAAGATGTAAAACAAGAAATTTAGATTTAAAGTTAAAAAATTTTAATATACTAACCCCGATAAAGCAGGAAATATAAAGGGACAAACTGTCTGCATATTTTAGAGCCGATAGATGAACATCACTAAGAAGGGGAGGAGTTAACCCGACAAATTGTCAACGAAGTATTGTCAAATAAACATCCTCTTGAAACTTTGACAATATCACAATTTGGATCACCATGAATCGCTGAGCTAACACATGCGGCCGATGATAATAACAAATGAATTTCAGCGCATAAACTCCAGGTTAACTAATTAACGGTGTGAATGCGCGCACAAACAAGAAACTTATCGATTACACGCAAATTTAATAAGTTCAATAAGTAGACATCAAGCTAACTAACTGACTGCTTGGTCAGCTAAAAGCGCGCACACCCGTTTAGCTTATCGAATAATTGTAATAGTTAGTAAGATTCAGTATTATTCTGACCCTTGAACGGCACAGAAGTGACTTGAAAATAAAACGAATTAAGTTATTAGTAACAAAGCATTGTCGCATATTCAAACATCAAAAGGAGACCTAGCTGATCAACAAAGGCAACTGGAGGATCCCAACTAAAAACAAGTTGCACGCGATGAAGGTAACAGACTTAGTGGACATTTCAGAGTTTAAAATTGTGTCTTAATAACTACTTAGCATTCCGAATGTTTAATCAGAAGTGGTCTTTTCACCCATCCTAAATTAAAGTAATCGCAAAGTACTTAAAACATTCAGTTAATTAAACATTATTTCGCGCGAAATGTAACGCGACGTAGTTTGTGCGGAAAAGTACTCGCTGCTCCAGTTGAGAAAAGTTTTGAAAACTTCGACCCAGGTAAAATCACTTAAGTAGAATTTACATGAGGCGATTTTCTAAGCGATTCAACATCGCTTTCAACAAAACCACATGTGTAAATTATGTTTCAATTTTCTAGAAAGCGATAAAATCGTATATCGTATTTGATAAGACACCGATAAAAAGCAAAAGCCCTCAAACGGGTGCGATACGATACAATGCGGTGCTTCATCTTTATTATGGCAATCTTTATATTACTTCAAATACTTTAAAGCGTATCATATGGGTTAACAATAGACGAGATTAATTATTAGTTCCATTTCAGAACCCTACAAGGAATAAGTCGCTGAAATCGTGCAATGAACTATGATTGCTACGACACAATTTTGGAATGATCCGTATCGTAAATGTGTTCTTCGCCACATTGAAAACAATTGAATTTAAACTTCACTCAGAGCAAGCGAAATTCACAAGCTATAGCTAAATCCATCAACAAGGTATAATTTGACAACTTCTCCTCTGTGAATAAGTGTCTTAAAAATTCTGATTTAATGAAGGCTAAAATACGTCCCGTACATTTTATCCCGCATAGTTTTGTTTAGACCTTCGGAGTCATCCGACAAATTCCTGTTGAATTTATCGACTAGAAAATCAAGGAAAATATTCAATTGAACATTCCACTTATTTCTGTCGCGAGACTTAAAACACGGGACCCAAACGACAAAGAAAGACTTCTGCCGACTTTCAACATAACAATTGGATTTTAAGGCAATAACCTTCCCGAATCGATTCTCATATTTACAGCAAACTTTAAGGTTTTACATTACTTTTCCAGAGTCAGACAATGCTATAACTGCGGAAGGCTGGGGCATACGAGACTAGCGTGTAAAGCGGAAAAGAGGTGCCTTACATGCGGAAAAGAGGAAGGCTGCATAGATAAATGCAATAATGTTAAATGTATTATCTGTGGCATCCAAAACCACAGTGCTCTCAGCAGAAAAACATACCCTGAATGGGAAAAGGAAGAAGAAATCCTGCTACCACACAATCAAAGGAAACTCGAAATCGCGAATACGATGATCTTGGATGTAGAAAGAAGAGAAAGAAGACGAACGACATTGGAAAGTCTCTGTATACGACAGCAGCTTAACAATATGATGAATTTTAAAGAACACGTGGACAGCACAAACAGCGCTTACACAGCTGTTATTCAAAGTAGAAATGGACGTCAGCGAAAGCAGGAACAAAACAATTGATGTGTGTTTATGTATAAATTCTTTCCTGTGATATAAATGTTATTATTACTAAATGTGAGTAAGATTCAAATCAAATCATTGTATTTCATGTTTATTGTTTGTGATTGTTTAAGCGACGTACGCACTTAAAATACACCTCTGCTAAAGAGAACGCATCCACCCTCTTTTTCGAACTAACGGCAGTTCGATGTGACCATGCGACTGCTATAAACAGGGGCGCCTTATTGGCTCTCCTTCTCCTTTTTCGACCTTACGGATTGGACCATCATCGATAGAGTATCATTTTAATCAACTACATCAACCAAAGGAATTTATCAACTTCATCATCGTGGAGTATTTACCACATACATCATTTACTTCGCTAAGTATCAATTTGAATTATACATTTACATTTCAATTACTGTTTGGAACATCTTTATGTTATATTTATATTGAATTCTCATTCTTTGTACTATTGAACTTCAACATTGTCTCATGAAGTTGCATATGAATTACATACATGCGTATTTGCATTATTATACAAATACTTGAGTGCTTTACATCCATTACCCTCGCAGTGTAGATCCGTACCTACACGTATATCTAACAGATTTGCCTCAACAATTTCCCTTCCCAATATCGTAAATAGGGGTTTACCTCCGTAAGCCCTCCAACAGATTCTAATAAAAAACAGACTACCTGAAGAAGGCGCCAAATTCGTAGAAACGCGAAGGAGTGTAAAGGAAATTTATTTCACAAAATTCAAATTTATTTATTCAACGGCCAAAGCAGCTCTAACCCAGCAAGCAACTACATAAAAATCAAACATACAAAAGAAACTCCAATAGATTTTCACCTTTTGAAGCAGACGAAAGCTTGCCTGCTCTGAAAAGCAACAAATAAAATAACTACGAGACTCAGGTACAGTAAGTTGGCCCAAACTACCACAGTCGGTGGCAGTCAAAGGCCAAACCCTACCGACAAACAATTTAAAAAAACCTATCACTCTTTGCTACGATTTAAGAATTAAATATGGAAGATCGAACACAAAGGAAGCTACTGGAAGACGAAATGAGGGTGTAAGCGACAGGATCACAATTCCAGGTATTAAATAAATAAATAAATCTGAAATTTTCTTCTTGAAAGAAATCACAACATAACATTCTAATATTCTTTAAATAAAAAATCAGTACAAAGTAGAAATAAGTCCATACAAATATGTAAATAACAGAAATAACATCCCTACAGAGCGACTTCCGAGAGAACTTTAAATTAAAACGTCCAACCAAGAAAATAAAGCGCGGGATGCTGAAATACAAGCACGAACCGGTCTTGGTTGCACGACGAGGGGCAGACCGCGCCACCGTGAAGTACCGTGGCGTAAAATACGAAATGCAATTCATCCACTAGAAAGCGCGCTGAACCAGCACACCCATCACCACACATCGGCGGAGCTCCATGTAGACCGTACCTGTAAAGTTCATACATTCAAAATAAATAATAAAATTGACACCCCTATTGCTAGTGTCGACTAGTAGTAGATAAACGACTTCTAGTCGATTATCGATTATCTGTGGTATTTTCAAAGTCGTTTTCTCGCTCAATAAGTGAGTGTGAGTCCTTCTAGAAACAAACAGTTGAGTTCACAGTCGCTTATTGAACGAGAAATCGACATTATAATCTAATAACAAAAATCAGAGCCTACGGATACGTAGGCGTGGCAATTAGGAGCATAAAAGTATCAAACTACAAACATTTAAATATCAGACGCAATGTGGCATTGATATTGGTAAGATGATGAATGTGGACAGTAACATTACACTTTGTTCGGCATACTTTAGTCAGACCTTAAACATATAAAACTTTATTAACGAAATTCAAAAATTGTTATCTTTTTTAAACTAACAATCAAACGTTTTTTTTTGGGAGTCTTTAACGCAAGATGGTCCAGGTTGGGAGACAACTATGATTCGACGAGAGGGAAAATCCTTTCTGCTACCATTGACAGGTTTAACTTCAAGTGCCTCAACAGCGATGCTAAAACCTTTCCTTCAGAAACACCAATGGCAATGAAATCAACGGTTCTGTACTAGACTTCAGCCTGACTGTAATTACCTTGAAAACTGGACAACAAAGGATGATTTCATTGGCGGAAGTCATCGCCAGTCCATTATTATTGAGCTTCGAAACGTAGAAAAGCTGCCCAACTTCTTCATTAGCAATAAGGCTTTGAACAACGAACTGAATAAAGTTAAATGCGGCAACGGGTCAAATCCTTCAACACTGGTATGTATCATGCATTAAAGAAGTCTACGATTGACTTCAACGAAGTTAAGTTTACACCGAAAACGTGGTTGAATGATGGGCTGAACAAAAGCTATAGGAGACTTTTGGCATCTCTTAAAAAGCCATACTACACAACTCCCCAATATTGAAGACTTTGAAGCTGCTATATGTGCAAAAATTGACTAGGGAAACGAGGTGAAACTGTCAAAAAAAGCGAACTTCGGGGAAGCAATTGCAGAACTTAACAAAAACCCAAACACGAGGGACTCTTGGAGATTCGTCAACAACACAAAAGGGAGAAGCAAGCACATACGCCACTGGATAAGAGAAAACAAATGAGGCCTTCTTGACGCCTATCAAAATCCAAGTTATGGAAAATAACTATGATGCAATTCAAAGCTATAAACAATGCAAGCAAAATGACAAGTGTAGTAGAATGTACTGTAAACATACCAATAATCTGGCAGCGCTAGTCTCAAAAAGGATATATGCAAATCACGTGGCACCGCTTGTAACAAAGATTCATTCCGAATAAACAAGTTAACCGAAGCGGTCGTGAATTATTCTATAGCTCAGGTACGGAAATAAAAAAAACCTAACGCAAACCCACTTGATTAAGTAACGATGAGCGAAACTCTCAGAGCAACACCTAAGCGACGCGAAAACGCGGCAATAGTAACCGCGACAGCAGACGTCGCAATCAGCGAGAACCGTTCTTTCGATTTAACAGCAATCGAAAAACAGCTACGTATTTTGCAGCTAAAAGTTGCAAACAGGTAAAGCCTGCCGCAGCATCCCGATCAACTTCTCTGAAATAGAGAAAACCTTCCGTACATTTAATGGCGACGAAGTGGAGCAGCGAGTTCGAGGACAGCCGAAAAGTTTACCGGTACGATGAGGTGGCTGCGCCCAGATATTGTTACGCATATGCAACATTGACGGGTGGAAGAAACGGGTGTCTGAGACAGCAACTCATCGATGAATTTAAAAGGCCACTGAGTGTCAAAGACATTCTTCGTCAATTGGAGACGCGCGTTTGGGAAAAATCGGAAACCCTCACGCATTACGTTCTGAGCATGCAAGAGCTTGCTCAGTCAGCACCAATCGAAGTATATAAACTGGTAGCTTTCATCATCGACGGGGTCAAGGACAAGTCGGCCAAAACACTAATTTTTAGCGGAGTGGCGACAATCGGCAAATTTAAAAAGCTGATACCACAATATGAAAGGCTCCAAGCAGCAACCGAGAAGAAAGCGAGCGCTCCATACCCCATTGGCATTGTCAGCAGTAAGATGCTACAATCGTTCTCGTAATGGGCACTACTCCAAGTATTGCGCAGAGAAAAGGCGTTAAACTGCTTAAATTTAAAATTAATCGGGCATAATCAACGCGAAGTATTCGCTACTCCAATTAAAAGGGTGGACTCAACGCTAATGGAGTAAAAGCGGCGGACCAAATTACGGCGATAGTGCGAATAATAACGATGCTGCGAATATAGACAACGGCGAAGAGCGTCGCGAATTTTCTCAAAAAGTTGTTATCGTAACAATCAGCGTACTGGGGTGCGTCAAAAGTAGCACCCGTGAATTCGGTGGTGCGAAAATAACGGTTAGAAAAAGAGATAGAATTGCTTAAATTAAAATTGGGGCTACAAAAAGATGGGTGTAGTGTAACTGAAAGTCGACCATGCTTAACGTTTATAATTATTTAAAACAATAAGGGTTTCATATTTCAGTTGTTTGAATATTGTGAATATAGAACTCACGCATTGTCAGGCACACGTGCCAAACCGTCAAACAAACTAACTTTAAGCTTCAATTTATTTATAATATTATTTAGACTTATGCAGCAATTACTTCCCATAAATACCCCAATATGTTAGGCTAAGAAATCAATTGTAAAAGAACCTACAAAGCGACATTGAGTTGCTCAGTAAAATAAATTCAATACAATTAAAACATAAATGAATTGTTTCATTCGATACATGGCGATCCTGCCAGCTTTTTGCGAAAATTAATTTGCAAAAAAGCTATCCTGCCAACCGGTGCTTAGATTTGAATTGCACAGTGGCAGTCTAGTGCTTTGCTGCACAGATCAGCCTGAATCCTGGTTTGCTTAAATTGCAACATTTTTAAAATTTTGTGCTTAAAAATTATGCACTAAAAAGCACTTTGACTTGATCAGCCAAAAAAAAAAAAAAAAAGATCAATCAATCATCAAACAAAAAAGCCTGACGGACAGTCAGCTTAAAACTAATTTGTCCTGACGTGGATCAGCCACAAAGATCCGTCAGCTGCGTGATGAAGGAAGGACCACAACCAATAACTCTCGAGGAATATAGAAAAAGAACCAGCAGAAAGACAACAGATGAAATTACCATTCCAAAAGCACAAAAGCCAAAAAGAAGAGGAGGTTACATGCAAAAACTAAAACGGGAGAAGGCAATCCTACTAAGAACAGTTAATACAAGGCCGCCACCACCATGGGATGCAGCAACTAAAATATGGAGTAGAATCTCAGAGGTAGAATTCCTGATGGAGCAGTATTTAGTAAATAGAAAGCAAAATTAAAAAAAAAAATAATAAAAAATATAAATTATATTATAAGCAAACAAAAACTGATGTGCGTCAATCCGCACTCATAGGGCCAGTAAGCGAATTTTCGCTCGTGGCAAAAATATTTTTTTTTATATACATATACAATACATTTCTTAAGTTACTTTCAATCTTACTTTTTAAAAAAAAAAAAAATTTTTATTGCTTTTTTTTTAAATATTAAGCCAAAATTTTATCAATAAAAATAAATAAATGTTAATTAAAAATTTACTAAAATAAGAATTAATAAAAAAAAAGAGGGTTATAGTTACATAAAATTTTTAAAAAACTTATATGATAGGAGACAATTAGAAAAATTTAAAACTGGACATACCAATACAAATACTACAAACTTGGCCTAAAATGGGTCTATTAGACGTAAAAACAGTAGACTCTACTGCAAATGTTATCAACAAAGTTGACGTAACGTCCCCCGACTTGGAAGTTATAACCATCTTGTTATTTGTAATAGTAGCCCTTTTAGCAGCAAATATTTGCTTTAAATTGTATAGAATGCACAATAGGTGCTTTAAAAAAAAATATACAGCCAGTAGAAGCAATGATTTAGACCAAGTCTAACAAATTTATTACCCACTGTTACAATAAAAGGTTCAACCAAAGGTAATGGACTGGAACCAAATATTAATTAAAGCTAGACAAATTAGAGAGGAATTTTTGAAAACACATAAGTGCCTAAACAACGACAGGGAAATAAAGACAGAGACACTTAATAAACATATCAATAACCTAGTCAGCACACTTGAAAAACTTAGAGTTTTTCTAAATGTCAACTATAATAGACTTACACAAGGTCATAAAGTAGCAGCTGAAACATTCTTTCTTGACATTAGGGAAAAACTCATAACGGTAGCCTCAAGAAAAGGAATTACAATAGATATCCCAACGTCACTACACGAGGAAATATCATTTACACCACTACAAGAAATTATACAAACTCCCACAATGACACAGACAGTAGTAGAATTTATAAATACAGCAACAAAGCTTATACCTGATTTTGATGGCAAATCAGAAAATTTACGTTCATTCCTTGACGCACTAACTCTGGTTGATGCGATAAAAGGCGAACATGAGGCAATAGCCATTTCCTTAATTAAGACTAAACTTAAAGGAAATTCGAGAAATTTGATTGACAATGAAAATACAATTGCGGAAATCAGTACCAAACTACGCACCACCGTAAAAGGTGAGTCAGTAGAAGTAGTGACTGCAAAACTTATGAATATAAGACAAAGTAGCAAAACTGCTACAAATTACTGCAATGAAATAGAAACACTAACAAAATCATTAGAAAATGCATATATAAATGACGGCATAAACTTAAATTTGGCAAGTAAATATGCGACACAAGCAGCCGTAAGGGCAATAACTAAAAATTGCACATTAGAAAAAGTCAAACTTATTATGGAAGCAGGTCAGTTTACTGACATGAATGAAGTAATAAGCAAATTTGTTGGAAGTTGTACAGAAGCTACAGGCCAACAAAATACCATTTTGCACTACCGACAAAGACAATTTGGCAACAGATTCCAAAACAATAGAAATTTTGGAAGAAGGTTTCAAAATAGAACCAATGTTCAAAGAAACCACAATGGCCAAAACAGCAATTATAGTGGAAATAACTATAATAATAGAGGTCAAAACAGAAATACCTACCGAGGTAATACAAGGAATATTAGAATGACCCAAACAGACAACAATAGTTCGGAAAACCCGGACATTCCCCTAAGATAAACTCGGACTACAAAATATACAATCTTAACCTTAACTTTAGCATTTACATACAAGTCAGAATTGCTCACACTAACACCGCCATAACACTACTAGTTGACACAGGAGCAGACATTTCCATAATTAAACATGACCAAGATACACTTAAACACATAAACAAAAAACACATTACAACACTACAAGGCATTGGACAAGGAAAAATCAATTCAATAGGCACAACATTTTTCGATTTAAAGTTTAAAAATTACTTAATACCACACGAGTTTCATGTAGTACAAAACGATTTCCCAATACCGTGTGATGGCATTATTGGAATGGACTTTATGAAAAAATACAATTGTCTACTTGAATTCAATGAGAATCAAGATTTCCTAACCCTCAGACCAGAAAAATTCCAAATGCACATTGAAATACCAATTATAACTACTTGTAACGATGACATAACACTCCCAGCTATGTCAGAAGTTATAAGAAGGGTGAAACTTTCTACTCCTTTTCAAGAAGTACTGATACCTAATCAAGAAATACAAACAGGTATATTCATTGCAAGTACCTTGGTAAAATCTGAAAATGCATTCATACGAATTCTTAACACAAATGACAGACCAGTAACGGTAAAACTAAACAGAATTCAATCAGAAAATCTCACTGACTATAACATAATTTCAAGTGATCAAAACAAAACAGAAAGAAAAAATAAAATTTTAGATACACTAAAGAAAAATTTTCCAAAACTATTTGAAAAAACGTTAACGGAATTATGTTCTAGGTACAGCGATATTTTTGGATTAGAAACAGAAGCAATCACATCAAACAATTTTTACACACAAAAGTTAAGGACAAAAGATACAGACCCAGTATACATTAAGAACTACCGTATACCACACACTCACAAAGAAGAAATTGAAAGACAAGTCTCAAAAATGTTAAAAGATGGAATAATAGAGCCATCATGTTCCGAATATAATAGTCCTATTTTATTAGTTCAGAAAAAATCACTTCCAAATTCAATTGAAAAAAGATGGAGGTTAGTAATAGATTACAGGCAGATTAACAAAAAATTAATAGCGGATAAATTCCCACTGCCAAGAATAGATGACATCCTAGACCAATTAGGTCGAGCTAAATATTTTTCTTGTTTGGATCTTATGTCAGGATTCCATCAAATACCACTAGAAACAAATTCACGAGACCTGACATCCTTTTCTACAAATAATGGATCCTACAGGTTTTCTAGACTCCCATACGGATTAAAAATTGCCCCTAATTCATTTCAAAGAATGATGACAATTGCGTTTAGCGGTTTAAAACCAGAACAAGCATTTCTCTATATGGACGACCTGGTAGTCCTGGGTTGCTCTGAGAAACACATGCTATCAAACCTATCGGATGTTTTTGAACTATGTCGCAAGCACAACTTAAAATTACATCCTGAAAAATGTTCATTTTTTATGCGCGAGGTGACTTATTTAGGACATAAGTGCACTGACAAAGGCATACTCCCCGACGACAAAAAATTTTCAGTAATTAAAAATTACCCTATACCTACAGATGCAGATAGTGCGAAAAGATTTGTAGCATTCTGTAACTACTACAGGAGGTTTATAAAAAATTTCTCTGAATACTCAAGACATCTCACTAGATTGTCAAAGAAAGGAGTACCTTTTCAGTGGACACTAGAATGTAATAATGCTTTCGAGCACCTTAAAAAGGCATTGATAAGTCCTACATTGTTACAGTACCCAGATTTCAGCAAACAATTTTGTATAACTACTGACGCAAGCAAACACGCATGTGGTGCTGTACTAACACAAGAATATGAGGGAAAACAATTGCCGGTGGCATATGCATCTAGAACTTTCACAAAAGGAGAAAGCAATAAGTCAACAATTGAACAAGAATTAACCGCCATACATTGGGCAATAACATATTTTAAACCATACATTTACGGAACAAATTTTCTGGTAAGATCAGATCATAGGCCACTATCTTACCTATTTTCAATGAAAAACCCTAGCTCAAAACTAACTAGAATGAGACTTGATCTTGAAGAATATGACTTTGTGGTAGAGTACCTTAGGGGAAAAGACAACTATGTTGCGGATGCATTATCACGCATTACAATTGACGATTTAAAAGATATAAATGTTAAAAATAACACTTTATACAAAATGCAAACAAGATCTATGACAAACAAAAGTTCTCTTAATCAAAACACAATTAAAACGCATCAATCTAATACATATGATAAGCCCAGTATATATGTACCTATTAATAACACTGACGTGAGAAAATACTATAAATTAAAGATTACACCCAAGACATGCTATATCAAACGGGGTAAATCTATTAAAACATATATACAAATCAATGATTTGTTTGTTAAAGGGAAATTTGACTTAGGTCAATTTTTCTCTAGGCTCGATGATGTGGCCAAGCACAAAATATAAAAGTTGAGAAAACAATGGCAAATTACAGATTCGCCAAGGTTCCGCGACAAAAAATGCAGTTTCGCTACCCATGAGATAAAGCTAATAAACATGCTTATCTGTGGACACACCTATGGAAGGATTTGCCTGAGCAAGTTTAAAAGAGAGGTTATAGACAACTCTGGGGTTAGCGCTCATTTTTAATTTTGGTTATCCGAGATTTTTCACCGCTAGAAAAAATTACAGTTTTTTTAATGCATACAATTGTATAAAATAATTATTTTTCAAATTTGACTTTAGCATTCTCAGGGAGCTGTTAAGCTTCCTAAAGGACAATAGAATAGAATGTGTGTACACTGATATGTGTATTTAAAGGTGTAGTTTTAAGAAAAAAATTAAAGAGTTTGTTGTAACCACCAAAGGAAAATTGGTACAAAATATGTATGTAAAAAAAAACCCGTAGATATACAAAAAGTTTAAATAAAGAATATGAATAAAAAAGTTTAAATAAAGAATATGAATAAAGTTAATGTTCTAAACCAATGATAACTGTTTTAATAGTAGTGTAAATAATTTTCGTTTTATATTCGCGTATAATAAATGTTATCCAATTGTTCGCTATCTATCGGGCGTATGGAAAGGATAATACGAGGGCTGATTTGATACGATATACTTGCAAGCGTTTATCGTCTATCGCATGAAAATTCATAATACGGGGGTTACATATTGGGAAACCAAACAAACATCAAAACTCTTTTGACGCTATACGCAATAAATCAATCCTGTTGGAATTTCAAGCTACATACATACAGACATACGTATACCATCGAATCGTTTCACTTCCTCCACCGGAGTGCACCCACGACAGTCGGGTCTACGTAACCGGAACGACCCAGATTTATATCTGGCCAAGGACTGTCACTCCAGCAACACTCCCCAAAAGTCTTTGGGGAGTTTGTATGCTGTTACAACAACAACAACAACAAATTAATAAATAGATTAAAGGATTAAACTATGCCAACAGGAGTATTAAACTGGCGTTTTCAAAGCGATCTCGCTTCATCTATACAACTTAGAACAAACAAACATAGTTCCCGAAAACTGATAAGCCGTGCAAAGCTGAAATTTTTTAGAAGAGTGATGTACATATGTAGTAATTGTAAAACTTTATAAACCCGAAACTAAAAATTTTGCAAGGACGGATAAATGTATTACACTCCAAGTGTGAACCTACACCGTACACGACAAAACGGGTTTGTTGTCTTCGACAAGAAATCATATTTTTTTTTGTATCCTATTTGTGTCGTGTTGCGACTAATTTGGTTTGAGTTGAATAATAACAAGTAAATGTACTCTTGCTCTATACGACACGAACAAACATTTTGTCGTTTTCGGTGTGGGTTCACACTAAGTGTTAATATAAAGATGTCATTAAAATTAAATATTAAAAAAAAATTTACGAACTTAACACTTACATCTGTGCAAAAACTTTGCAAATGTACATATTTTAAAAATATGAAGGCTTGTGCATTGATACATACTGCATGCACACATACATATGCACATACAGCTACAGTTTGACCAGAGGCTTTGTTTTGAACGTAAATGGACTATTAAGCCGGTGATCCGATAACTTGTGTTGTGGCAATTTTTCAAAGATTTCAAGCGCGGAGTATTATAAAATCGACAGTGAAAGAATACAGACCAAGATATTAGATAAGACAGTTATTGTAATAATGAAACAATTCGTGGTTATTATTTCACAATTTAAATTCGTTACCTTAATATAGAAATCTTTATAAAAATCTATGTTATACAGTTGCGCGAGTGTTAAACACACTGCTTTTTTTAACTATTAAACTTATTTACTGATATTCTATTTATTTTCAAATTCTATTTGGTAATTTTTGAGTAATAATCTACGGGATTTTGTGGAACGTTGGATTTCTAAAGATGAGATAGCGCCTTTATTTATTAAAATATATTTAGTAAGTTTTAATGTGACCAACATCTTTTTTCTTGGACGAATCAACCTTTCTTGTATCGATTTTTTTCTTACAAAACATGCGTTAGTTAGCACGATCCATAGCCTCATATGTTCATATGTATGTCCACAATTGGTATGTATTTAACCTTAACTAGGAGTATATTACTAAAATCTATTTATTTTTCGTCAAATATTAATTAATAATTGTTTCACCTCTATGCGCCAACTGTTGTTTAAGTGTTACTTCTACTATTGCTGTTCTCGCCTGTTGATTGACTAGTACTGCTACTAAAACTACTGCAGCAACTGTTTTGAGTTGCTTTTGTGCCAAAATTACCAAGACCAATAGAATCCGCAGATGTTTTATTTGCGTTCGTGCCATCCTTACTTCGCGCCTGGTCAATAAGCTCAGCGGCGATCTCATAAAATAAGCGTTCGACATTTTCTGCCTCCTTGGCTGAAGTCTCAAGAAAATACATATCATGCTGCTTTGCAAATTCTTCACCAATTTGTGTAGGTATTTCACGATCATCGCGATCAGTTTTATTTCCAACAAGAATTTTTAAAACTTTCGAATTGGCATACTCTTGGATTTCGCGCAACCAATCGGGCAAGCAATCGAAAGTCGGCTGGCAACTTATGTCATAAACTAGTATCAATGCATGCGCCGAACGGTAATAGCTTTGAGTAATTGATCGAAAACGTTCTTGGCCTGCGGTGTCCCATATTTGAAGCTGTTTATGTATAAATGTATAAGAATAGATGCATTAACAATTTATACTTTTTTTACACACATACATATGTATGTAAATACATATGTAATGTATGGTTATTACCTTGATTTTTTCACCTTCCACTTCTACGGTTTTAATCATAAAGTCAACGCCTATGGTTGCTCCTTGACCGGGTGGAAATAATCCTTGTGTGAAACGCCGCACTAGACATGTTTTGCCGACACCCGCATTGCCAACCAGTACAATTTTGAAAAGAAATTTGTAGTCCTCCATTTATGCGCGATTTATTTTTTAGTTGTGCTGAATAAAAAAATAAAATAGTTTATATTAAAAAATCTATGTCAAAGAATTCAACTACATTACATTAAGATTATTTATTTGGATTATAAAAAAAAGTGACTGTCGGTTTCATAATCTACATAATTAATTAATTATATATATCGTTTCTAGCCATGCCGCACTTTCAGTCGGTCGGACTCACGCTACGGGGAAGGCCGGGATTCGTATAAATTATATCAAGAATCTCCAACTTTGTATGCAGTTAAACATGCAATCATGTACATAATTCCTCCTTTGAGCTGAGCTAAGCAATTTTCGTTTTGCCGCGACATTCAAATACTAGGGGTATCGTCGAATTCTTGCAAAGCCCTTGCACGGTGCACGGTGGTTGCAAAGCTGTACCATTGGAAAACCGGTTTTTACCATGCAATCCGTGCAACTCGTGCACCAAGCAAGCTATGCAAGACTTCAGGAATACCCTTACTCTTTCATCAAAGGATATTTTATTTACATAAAATATGTTATTGTTTGGAATATAAAGCTAAACATATTAGTTTATCCCACAAATGGATAGCGCTTTCTAATATGTACATACATATGTATGTAAGGAAATATATGACATCATGGCTTTAAGGCTTTCCTAAATACATAATGTATTAATGTATAAACATACGTACATATGTATACATATGTATATGCAACAGACGTATTTACATCAGATGATCAATATTCCGTCCCACCCGAATATTAAGGTTTAAATAGCTCACAAACATGAAAATGTTGGTAATTTCTGTTCTTGCAATACTCACCTTTGCTTATATACGTTGAAATTTTTGCTGACTCAACTATTTCTTTCGCTTGCGAATTCGTGGTTTGGTCGTGGCTGATCTTTCGACTGGAAAACTTCTAAAATACGTATCCCCTTTAGTAGCAGAAATGTTATAACTTTGTATACTAGATACTTTCTTTTGTTTTATATTTTTATGAGTGCATTAAAATATTTTTGGAAACCTTGCAAATTCCACGATGTAAACAAACACAGTGAAGCCTGTGTAAATAAGCTTTTCACGAAATACACAGTAGAATTCAGTCACTCGAATGCCTGTTCCGTTTTTGCCCTTGATTCAATTACACCTCTTTTTCGGTTGCTGTTAACAATTAATTAACTATTATTTTATTTCACACTTATTTGAAGTTTCTTGGTCCCATCGAGTACATTAGTAAAAATTATCTTTCGCACACATATGCGCGACGTTTTTTTACTACATAAGCACCTCAATTATTTCTCCAATTGGCTGGTCAACCCTCCTGAATTTACTGTAAAGCATGTCGGTGTTCATTGTGTAGTATCAAAGTTGTGTCCAGGGCTGCCAACTTCGCTCAAACCGTGCCATTTTTGGCCCTATTTTACATCAAATTGCACTTAATTTTTAATTTTGAAAAATAGGGCCTGTACCAATCGGTAACTTTTTAGGCATACATCAAGATAACCAACCGTTCAGCTATAGAAAACTAAAAATGCAGATTTCTAGTACTTTTTACACTGATTTTAACTATATAAATATTATTACCCGCAATTAAAAAGTAAAGTGGATATAAAAGGTTAAACAAAAAAATTTGATATTTTAAAATATTAATATTTTCTAAACTGCGTATCCGATTCAAAAGGTAATGATGTCACAATAAAGACAATTAATTTATCTTCAAGCTGGTATATGAAATGTGTATGCTTTTTATATATTTAAGCCAAAAATATTATAAAACAAAAAATGTTATAATTTTTTCATAAAATAACCTTTTTTAGAAAAAGTCTATAATCAATGCTAAAAAAATGTATAGTATTTAGAAAGTGCAAGTTTTAACCTTTAATTTGATATACATATTATATTATGATTTGCTTTTGAGTTTTCAGAATTCAGTAATAATAAAAAATATAAATGCATGTATGTGCAAATGCATATTGTAGTTAATTAAACGGGTTGGTTGGCTTTCCATTATGGCCGTTCGTTAAAGGGGCGGTGGGTGAAAGGCAAGTAGGCGTGACACCTTCAACCCACCTTTTTGGAGAGGGAATGCGCCGCCATTGACAAAAATGCAATCCCGACCATCTAGGTCCCCTACGGTTCCCTAGGGACCCTTTAGAAAAATGGCCAAAAATCACAATTTTCATTTGCACAAGACATTTTTATATACACATTTTTATATACAAGACATTTTTATAAAACACGCAGTAACCAGTTCTGGGCAAAAGAAACTATGATATTACCCACACTTGTCACTTGCTTGTAAATGCTTTTAATTTTTTTTATCACTGAATTCTTAAACCTCAAAAGTAGATCAAAATAAAATATGTATTACTACGTTTATACGTAAGCTATTTGCAAATAAAAATAATAATTTGCAAATAGCTAACTCACTGTTTATTCGATGGTGAAAAAGTATTTTTTAATATTGCCTGATTATAAAAAGGCAATAATATGACCATCAAAAAAGAAAATAAAGTTAAAAATGGCAACGTCTTGATTATAAAAAGGCCAAGAATGATAGAATACAAGATTGCGCCGTCCTGGGCGTTGACATTTGTGTACCACAAGTAAACAAAGAATAGAGCGAAAAGGAGAACGAGTTAAAACTTCCAAAACAGTTCACTTTACAGCGAGAAACGTGTTTTAATTTTGCTACACGCGAAAATATTGCCTTTTTCACCTAATCTATTAGAGAATAGGTAACATTTTAGTGCACTCCATTGCTTTGCAATTGAGGCTGCTTCAGCAAACGTTTTAGTGCACTCCATTGTTTTGCAATTAAGACTGCTGCAGAAAACTGCGGCAGCATCTTAGCGGGATTGATTAGTTAACTTGCTAATGGTGGCTGCTTGGAGCAGAAACAAAATCATTGTGAGGAAATGCTGTTAATGTAATAATAAAGAAACATTTCGGGAACGGCTTTGCCGTGCCCTATGTACACAAAATGCAGCGATTCGCCCCAGCGCTACACTTGCATCTACGCATCCTGCATCTTGACGGCTGTCGCAATTTAACACACAGCACTTCATTTTACTAGTTTCTACGCAGTCTTCAACTCAAAAATCACTCACAAATTGCAAATTAACACAATTTAAACTGATTTTTCACATATAATTAAATTTCTCTTTCACTGATTTGTAAACAAAGGTTTGTTTACAAGTTACCACAACTGTCACAATCGGCAAAACCAAAGTAGCGGTACCACTGACGGCGCCACCTCTGGTCGCTGCACCGTGTAAAAAGGCAATAAGATGACCATCGAAAAAGAAAATAAACCTAATAATGGCGGCGTCTTGCGCTTATTTGCAAATAGTACCACTAATCAATACTTATTTGCAAATAAAAAATTAACTCAGCGTTTATACGGCAAAGTTTACCATTTTGCTAATTGTTATTTGCAAATAATACGTGCGTATAAACGTAGTATATATCAAATTAAAGTTATGAACTTGCACTTTCTAAATAATATATATGTCTTTAGCATTGATTATGCTTTTTTTTCTAAAAAAGGTTATTTTATAAAAAAAGTATAAGTTTTTATTTGTTTTTTAATATTTTTGGCTTAAATATATAAGCAAGCAAACACATTTTATATATCAACTTAGATAGCTTAATTGTCTTTATTTTGATATTAATTTTTTAATCGCTTACGTAGTTTAGAAAATATTAATATTTTAATATAAAAAAAAAATTCTTTAACCTTTTATTTTACGTTTACTTTGTAATTGCGGCAAATAGTAAATTGCGGCGTAAAAAGTACTATCGGTCTGCATTTTTAGTTTTCTCATAGCTGAACGGTTGGTTATCTTGATGAGTTCCTCGATTTTAATATCGATTTTGCTATCGCTATTTTTATCGATTTTCCAATCGATTTTGCTACCAATATTATAACCGATTTTGCTATCGAAATTTTTATCGAATTTGTCTTCGATATTTTTATCGATATTTTTTTGAAAGTTACTATTGATTTTGTTATCGATAGAGTGTAAAGATAAAAATGAAGATAGAGGAAAACATAATAAAATAAATGTAATTATAACGAACGGGAGTAGAGGTAGGGATCTAGATAGAAAAAAGAAAAAAATACAACCTTTTTTTAATTTATTACGGTCTTTAAGACCTAATTCAAAGTAAATTCAGTGTTACAGAAAGCAGATGCATGTATGTATGTACATATTTATGTGCATTGGTTATGAGAAAAAAAAGAGATACGTAACGTAAGTTCCACTTCGACTGTGTGGCCCAGGCACACTTATTTTAGGTGCAATCCCGTATTCCTCGGACTCGGACTAGTAAAACTGTCAAAAAATAAAAATTCGCTCAGAGCAAGAGAGTAACATTGATAAGTACGGGATCGCTTTCTAGTAAAAAATGGTAGCTTCTGTCAACTTCAACATAACCTCCAAATTTTAGTTGTAAATTTTTGCTTATTTTGTATGTAAACACACTCAGCTCACACATGTAAATAACCAAAAATACTTTCAAATTCATTAGAATCCACTTAAACAAGTAATTAAATACTTTTCAATATGAATTAGCAGAGTGCACTTTTCTTTTATTTACAATTTGGTTGCCAAACACACTACAGCTGATCGTTTGACACATTTACCAGAATTTACCAGCAAAAAATTCTCGGACTAAAACTGGTAACTTATGACAGAGAGAGAACGGTATTTACTCTCTTTTTTGTCCTCTCAATAGTCAGAGAACCGAGTACGGGATCGATTTCCAGTAAAATCTGACTGATTCTGACGATTTCTGACTAGTCCGGACTCGTACGGGATCGCAACTTTTTTTTTATTTATTATAGGTTTGCTCCATGGTGGAATAATAACAAGGTGTTGTCAGCAGCGACGTGTTTGTTGTGAATTTGACAAGATTGGCATGCTTATTTTCAGTGCTGCCGATATTAATTTTTATACTACTATTCGTTGGGAAATAGTATCTAAAATCTCCATTTTAGTAATTCGTTTTACCGCGATTTTTAAAGAACTTGGTGTTTTCAGAACAATATTAATATTTAAAATTGCTGGATTTGTATAATTTTTGTCCTCAAAAAGTAGAAAAATAAAAGACGTGGTTATCAATGGAAAAAAACGTATGGAAAGGCGCTTTTTTATATTAAATAACTCTTGCTGCATTGTCATAATATTGAGCCAAATGAACTACTGATACACTAGAATAGAGTGGCTGCATGGTTAAATTAGGAATTCGCTTATATTATCGATATTTATATGTTTTAATATATTTAGAAAATCATTTACAGTCTTATAGGAAATTGCCTTATTTTACGGCTTTTACTTTTTTAAAGTCACAATATATGTCCAAGCTGTGTGGAGCTGCCGATACAAACATATATTCAGGCTTATAAGCCTGTAATTATACATTTTTCTACATTTAATTTAAATAGTATGCACCAACGAATTAAAGGTAGTAAATAATTAGTACCTTTTCTAGTACTTTAAAATGCGTGACCGGAATAGACCTGCCGAAAAAGTGAGGTTAAGTTACCGACAACACACTGGCGCGTATGCATAGTCCAGCAACTAAGTCGAAACCACAATATAACCAGTAAACAACCTTCGCTGAATTTGGCGACTGCCTTCCTCGGGGATGAATATGCTAGGGATGAAATTATTGGTACACAGGCCTTCCAAGCACGCAGGGTTGCTTTTAAGAAACAAAAAATAATTAACTTCAAATAGTTTCAAAAAGTTTGGTGTAAAACGAAATTTATTGAATAATTCCACATAAAACGGTATACATAAATGACGCATTTTCTAAACGATTTTAATTAAACGCATTTGCGAATTGATAGAAAAGTACTACGGATTGTAAATTTTTGTTAACAATGAAGTGAATGAAAATTTTCAACCCGGCGTGATGGTTTGATTTTATTACTAAGGCGTCTAATAAATTCATGGCTTTTAGTTCTAGAAGAATAAATGTCAGTAAAGACAAGTCTTTTTTGTATAATTTCTGATTTTAATTGCTCAACTTCTTTTGAACCAGAGCAACTGTCAAAAATTTCCAACAGTAAAAAGTTACGAATTGGCACAGCAGAAATGTAAAATTTTCTCGCCATAATAAAAAGTTTTTTCAACATGGAACTNTAAAAAGTTACGAATTGGCACAGCAGCAATGTAAAATTTTCTCGCCATAATAAAAAGTTTTTTCAACATGGAACTTTTCTACTAATTGACATGAAATTACTATCTCAACGCTCGGAGCGCTGCCACTGAGGGCCTTTGCCAACTGATTAAAAAGAGAAAATTTGGAAAGACCAAACAAAAATTTTGAGATTTCTCGTTGTGAATACGAATGCCATAGTTTTTACCTA